AAACAACGAGGGCGGCGCGCGGCGGCTCTGATATCGTATTATCGTAACAGCTGTGTTGTCGTCTGTTTTCAAACGTCGGCGGCGGCGACACGGATGTCGTCACAACCACGACGGCGGCGGCAACACGTACGCCGGGCCCACACACACACGGCGGCTGCCTGTCGTCAAAATTTTTTTTTTTTTTCTTCGACGGCGTATGTATGTATTACACCACGCCGGGAATTTGCTGATCGCGCGTTTATAGAGACACGTTCACACGCAACCGTTTGCATGTATATATACACACCATATAGATGTATATAAAATATATAAAATATTATAAAATAATAATATCTTATACTATTAATGTTACCTTACGCAACTTTGTGTACAATGTTCTGTTTCGGATGGATACGCTTTTGTTCGTTTCCTTTTCTTCTAATATATTGTTGAAAGTCTAGTTCGGCTATTGCTCGTGGTAACGGGATACTGATATTTGTCGTGATCCCACCGCTGCCACCAAAAATGTTACGGATCTCCTTGGAGGTCCGTGCACAAATAAAACAACGAACACTTTCGAACTATCTGTTACTTTCTATATTACTTGAAAAGAAAAAAAACTTACAATACACTTAATAAAAAAAATGGTCTGACAATAATAATGCTCTGGCGCGAATTACAAGGTTCCGTCTACTGCTCTGAAATGCCACTGGCACGGCTTGCTATACGAGCCGTGCCTGTAGCCAGCGCTTGCCTGGAATTGCTGTCGCAGCAATTCCAGACAGTCGCCGTCGTACAATACTATCTTATACACTATTATATATATATACTAACTAATATAGCCAGGGGTTCTTAACACAACAGAGAAACTAAATTCGTCGCCTGGCGTGAAAAACCTCCTATGTAAAAAAACCAAGTTTTTCAGGAGAAACGTTTTAGTAGTTTAAAAAATAAGTATTGAATATGAAAATTTCAAAAAATAGTTATATTGTGTAAAACATGTTCAGAAATGAAATGGGACTCTTATTATTATTTTATTGTTTTATCCAAAAGGGATATTAAGCATATTGTTAAGATTTTTACACATAGGAGGTTTTGATGATAATTCTTTATTCTGAAACTCCACATAGGAGGTTTGTTGTTGACACATAGGAGGTTAATATTTGTGTATATTTTTTTTCTTTACACATGAGAGATTTCATGTCTATATTATTTTAACTATACAAAGTATAAACTATGTACCTACTGCTAAAATTGTAAAATAATAATGAACCTTTTAATTAATCTAACTACATAGATCTATAATATAATATTATCAGTTATGTTAGGTAATAGTTTAAAATTGTGCTTTATAATATCTAAAAAGAAACATACCTACATGCCTACCTATATGCATCAATAACTAATAGCATTCTAGAAATTATAGAAATATTAGACCAAATTTGACCATTGACCCTTGCTAAATGTTCTGTAATATCTAATAAAGATACAGGAAACTAACAATATAGTTATGAATAAAAATTGAATACATGGTTATTTAATAGATTTTATAATTAATTACAATTTTTAATTATAAATAGTAAATGTAATAATAAGAATAAAAATAACAAACTTTTTCTGTTTCTTGAAAAACCACATTATAAAATAAAATAAAAAATAACAGTTAATAACACTACATACTTTTTGGTTAAAAACTTAAAACTTATAAATTATAAGTTATAATAATAATGCACAAAATTTTCTAAAAATTATTTTTCGATCTACTTCGGTGAACATTCCGCAAAAAAAACCTTTGGATCCTAATTTATTTTTTTTTGTGATTACGAGCACAACAATCTTTCAAAAATCTTCCAGGCTTTGGACAAGACTGTGTGCATTTACCATTCTTAACTTTTGAACCCATATAATATATGGGTCTCCTGCAACTCTTTTTATAGAAGCCTTTTCCTTATTTGTTCTACCAATTTTTATAGAATTTTCAGACATACATTCACTAAGAACATCACAGTCCACATTACTATTAATTTCATTTATTGGATCATCTATCATTTTGTTCAGTGTCATCATCAATATTGTCATAAGTATTAATATTATTAGTAATAATAAAATCATAAATTATCAAAATTGTTAAAATTATTTATGGTGGTTATTGGCATAGGATTATCATAATATACATTCAGGTCAATTTCCTTTCCATTTTCATCAACAGAATATTATGATAAGACCAAATTAGCCAATAGGTATTTATAATTTATATAATCAGGTTTCAATATTTTTAGTATTATAAAATTGTATTATAACAATAAGCTTAATTTCGAGGGGTAAACACCTTGGGGGTAATCAATGTACAAGGTGATGGTAACCATGGGTATAGGTAATCTTTGAAGTAAATCATGGGTAATCATAGGTATAATCATTGAAATCAGTAATCTGGTGTACAAAACTTCTGTCAGGTATATCGCTTAATTTTAAATTTAATTACACTTATGTTATTGTTGAAGATTCCGAAATTCAAAATGAAAAATAATAATATGAAAAGACAAAAGTGATAATTGAAAAGATTATTTTCCCTCCTATTCAACACCAGCTGATATAGCTCCGATGTGCGAAATTCGTACAAATCAACAGTATGACAAACCTCCGCTGTATGCACATGGGAGGTATATCAGATAACAATTTCAATACAGCTAACATAGGAGGTTCATCGTTTTGAAGAATAAAAATGTTTTGATAACACCAATAAGTTTGAAATATTTATCACTAGATAGCGTATTTTTTTCTGAATTCAGAAATGTAAAAATGTCATTTTGCGATTTTTTGCACATAGGAGGTTTTTCACGCCAGGCGACGTAATGTCAAATTTGTATGTGCCAAACATTTTAAAACTGAAGACATTAAAAATACATATTATGGCTCTGAAAACTTAGGCTCTGATGTAAACAATGCTGACGTAGAGTAGTATAAAAATTTGATACATTCAATATTACTGTTCTATAAATTAAATAATAAAAAAAAAAAATACATGTAATCTATACTTATAGGATATTGATTAACAAATTACTTGTATGTAATTATTTAACACAATTACTTAATACTTAAATCTAGTCTTGGGCTCTACGTTCACGGCCAGAACTGAATTTTGGAGCAGTTCCTTCTATTTTTGAAACTTCACCCAGTCACACCTCAAAATTATCATCAAATGTAGCTTTGTGTAGATATCCAGAAGAAAATGTTGAAATTGTTAGTATCTGATTTTTCATTTTTTCTAAACATATATATAGGTATCCCACATGAGCACACCTATGTTCATATAATAATTTGTGGTGTTATTAATTAAACAAATTTACTTCAGGAAATATTTGAAGATTTTGTTAAAATAGTTCCTACAATCGATTTGCCTGTTAGTTGGACATATCATTTAGAACATAATGTTGTGGTATTTTGTTTTTTGAAATCATATATGAGGGAAAATCTTTTGATGATGACTGAAAAACAAATTTTGGTTAAGATTGATTTAAGTGTAAAATATTACTTCACTATTAGAGACCTATCACATTTCACTTTCAGGATATTGTTTATGTAATTGAGCAGGAAGTGTATCATAGATTTTTTGTTTTTCTACTATTCTATTGAAGATTTCTTGCAGAGGACATTTGATTGACTTGATAGTTTTTTTTTTATTTATTGCAAATAATATTCGCTATGTATACTGTATACTGTATACACCCGACCATGGTCGGGCTGATAGTGTGTATATGTTACGGTCAAAAGCCGAAATCGGGCAAACCTCAGAAATGCCCGGGCAAAACGCGAAATTTTCCTTGGGCAAAATGTCATATTTCGGCTTTTGACCGGGCAAACCTAGTTATGACCAACCTCATTTAGGCAAAACCGTATACTGACTTTTATCGTAATGGCAAAACCGTAATGTCAATAGTACAATTATACAAATATAATAGAATAAACTTAATTAATACATTTAAACCTCACTTGAGACAAACTTTAGTGTTTATAATAACCACATACAAAAAAATAATAATCATAAAATATTGTACAGATATAATTGAATACACTTAAATAATAATAAAAATATAATGATATTAAGTACTAGTATAAAAATAAACATATAATAATATTAGGTACTCTTATAATGTTAAAATAAATAATTAATAAAAAATATTATACAGATATAATTGAATATAATAATAAAAAATACTAGTAATATTTTTGTTTATTTGTTGCTACATATATTAGAACCATGGCATTTAGAACTATACAAAATATTTTGTTGCTTACATTTGCATCGTCTCGTAGTGCACTTAGTTTTGCAAGAACAAAAAATAAACCCTTATCCTCCAGTTAATGAATTTTGAGTACTAGCAGTCCTCAGTGGTATTTCGATATTCGGTACATCATTACTACTAATAAATTGTTCCTTGCATTGAAATATTTGGTTTTTGGCATAAAGTGATGACAAAATTCCATTTTTGGTTAATATTTTATAGAATCCTTTAATATTATAGGTAACGAGTTGATAAAACACGATAACAACGATAAATTAACAAGATACGTGGGGTCATTTATAATCGTAATAAATTCGTACGACAAAAATCACTATTTCTATTTAATATTAGAGAACGTATATAAGACACTACGGGGTGCCAGTGTAGCGTGCGATCTACCGCTTACGTGTGTCTACCTGTGATATATTTATGCACCTGGCAGATGCGGTATAGATATACATAGCGATAACCGAATAATAATGAACGAAATGTCCAACACGTATGGGAAATTGGGAAGTTATATTTTTTTATAATACGATAAAGATAATATTGATCGCTTTATCGTTTTTGCCAAAACCTACTATCCACTTCTTTATCGGTAATTTATCATTAACGATGTTAACGTTATATTTCGTCGATAATAGTTTAGTGTGCTTTCCGATTTCGACGACGCACGTAGTCCTTGTCTATCTTTCGTCTATTTCAGTCATTTTTTTTTTTTTGTTAGATAGTTCCGTCATGCTTCTCAAAGATTTTTATATTCGTGTTGCAAGTTCAGAGCAAGAATGCACTACATTCTTACGAGAACACCAACTTTTAAAAGATGTGAATAATATTGACCCTTGCCATAAGTGTGGCACAGAAATGTGTGAAAAACGACGGAAGAACCGTAATGGTGAATTTGTGCCTATATTCAGGTGCCCAAAAAAAGGTTGCCAAACTTCTCATTTAGTTCGCCAAGGAAATGCCTTTTTTTACTTTACGGACCTCAATAGCAGAGTTACATGTAAGCTAACACTTAGCGAGATTATGGAAATAGTGTTTATGTTTGTCATCGAAATACCTCTCATTCAGGCGGCTGAACTTACTGGAAGATCCAACAAAACGATCATGTTAGGTGGAGATAAGCCACCAGCAAATACGGATGAGGGGGCACAGGTCCAAAACAACCGCAACCATGGTGCCAGGATTGATGGACCGTGGGTTTTCGGTCTCAAGCATGGAAATTACAGTAGGTATTTTTACGTAGAACGCCGTGACAAGGATACTCTTTTACCTATTATTAAAAGGGAATGTGAAGGTGGTTCCGTCATTCACTCAGATGAGTAGCCCTCATACCGATGTTTAACATCAGAAGGGTTCATTCATGAAACTGTTAATCATCAAGAAAATTATGTTGACCCCTTAACAGGTGCGCACACACAGGGTGTTGAAAGATCATGGTTGGATGCAAAAATATCCATACTGAAGAAAAAGAGAGGCGTACCTATCCATATGCTTCAGTCACATTTGGATCAGTATTGCTGGAAGATGTGGCGGAAAAGTCAACCAGATTTGTTCATTGCATTTTTATAAGATATGCGGGCGACATACATAATTAACGACGACTAAATTGTCTAAAATGAAACTTATATTATGTGGATGATATTTCCAAAAACAAGCTGGTAGATCGCACGCTACACCAGAAACTAGCTGGTAGATCGCACTCTACACCAGAAACGAGCTGGTAGATCGCACGCTACACTAGCACCCACTACGGTTTTGCCATTACGATAAAAGTCAGTAAACGGTTTTTGCCCAAATGGGGTTGGTCATAACTAGGTTTGCCCTTTCAAAAGCCGAAATATAACATTTTGCCCAAGGATTGTGGGCAGTTCGCGTTTTGCCCGGGCATTTCTGAGGTTTGCCCGATGTTGGCTTTTGACCGTAACTTATATACTGTATACACCCGACCATGGTTTGGCTGATAGTGGACACCCGGCCATATTGTTATCAAACGCGTGAGTGTATGATAATATACTTGTAATTAATTAAATAATAATATGCATGGGGTCTAATTTTTATACTACCCAAAACTATTGTTAATAACAAATATGTCAGGTGAGTAAGCAGTAAGCACATGGTGTTATTGTAGCAGATGAATTTTAATGTAAGTATGTTTAAATAAAGTAAAAACTAAAAAAAAGGTAAGTACTTAAATATATATAAACATATAATTCATATAATTATTATTTCACCAATTTACATGTGTCACAAAACCAATATTTCCCATTTTGCTTCGATTTAACGCATTCCATATGATGCCAGATTAAACAACAGTCACACAATATGGAATTTCAATCAACTCCTATGACATTATTACATAATGGGCATACCCAGGTAATATTTTTTTTTTTGTTTAGTTAAAACATTATTTTTTCTCCATACACCATTGGAGCAGTAAGATTTCACACTGTTTATATCAACCTCATTCTCTATAATACCATTAAACACATCCGAATATAGTTTAATATCTTCTCTTTGGATTATATACTGATCTTTTCTCACTTTGTTGACAACTCTCTTATTTGTGAGCCATTCTATTATCATATTTTCTTTAAGTAAATAATGGGAATTGGTTTTAACTGTTTCTTGTGTATTGGAAGCAGGGACTGGAACCTATAGGATGTTTCGGTTCCGGTTATTAAATTAATTTGTTTAAGGTTTTCGGTTCTGTTTCGGTTTTCTAAAAAAATATAAGGGTTCTAGAACCGGTTAATACCGGTTTTGAAAAATACCGGTTATTTTCAGTTAATTTTGATTTCTGATCATTAAAGATTTATTAAAAAAATTGTCTGAATTAATCTATTTATTCATGTTTAAATTGTAATTATTTCATGAAAATAGAAGGTATTATGAAAAGTTAAAAAAATAATTACAAAGATACACGCCTATACGAAATCTATAGGAATGTAAGATAATATTGTAAATATTTCTTTGGGTTAGGTTAAGCTATTTTATTCCATCATATAGTAAGAGTTTGTAAAATATTATGTAATATTTCATATTTATAGTATTGTGAAATATTATGATTTGATGAAATAAATATTTTTAATTTAATTTAAGTAGTCTAGTAAAATAACTAGTCTACCCTTACCTAAATAACCTTTTTATAGTTAAGGTTACGGTTACGGTTTTTCATTTTTGGAAATAAAGGTTCCGGCTCTTTTCAGTTCCGGTTCCAGAACCGGTTATTTTCGGTTCCGGTTCTGGTCCCTGATTGGAAGACCTATAGTTGACGTACATTTCCCCACCCCCACCCATTTGACTTTTTCAACTTTTTCCAACGCCAATATTTAGTGCTCAATTCCTGCCACCACTCCCGGAATTCCTGCTCAAAAACACCCCCCGCAAAAATTAAAAAACTATGGATGGGGCGGGGAAAACGTTTCTCCAGCCCCACATGGTCGGAATTTGACTTTTTCAACTTTTTCTTACGCCAATATTTAGTACTAGTATACTACAATAATAAATATATATATAATTATAATTACTATTAGAAAACATTTATACAAGTAACATTGATTTTTTAACTATTGTTGCATATTCAGCATTTACATTGTATACTAAACGTTTATATTAATAATAATAATCATAAGTATCATATTACGATCGGTGGGGATTGTCCATAGGTCATTAGCAAGTAGAAAATTGTATATGTATGTCAGTTCGTTTTATACTTTTCACAATAAAAGACTATAATATACGTTTGTGTTATTATTCATATTAACAATACACAACAAATTGGCGACGAAGATAAAAATTTTTAAACTCATCTCATATTAAATTAAAATATTTATAAAATGGGTGAGGATAACAAAAATATTACTCAATTCCATAATATAATAGGTTCACCAGGAACATTTGAATCTGGAAACGACATAACAATATTTGAATCAAGACTTACAAATTTTTTCATTGCAAACGGAATAAGTAACGAAGTCCAGAAGAGAGCTATACAACTATCTTCAATTAGTGAGGAAGTTCACAAAATATTATTCAGTTTATGCGTTCCAGCCAAACCAGACGTTCAGACATACGGCACACTATTAGGTTTGTTAAACAATTATTACAAGCCAGTGAAATCGTACTTCGCATCAAGATATGCATTCTACAACGCAAAGCAGAGACCAGACGAAACTGTAGCTGAATGGGGAGCAAGAGTAAAGAACCTAGCATCAAAAAGTAATTTTTCAACGGAATTACAAATTGTAATCCGTGACATTTTTGTTGTTGGTATGAACGCGGGACCAATTCAAGATCGATTACTAGAGGAAGATGCCTCAAAAATAAGCATCACATATTCGCACCTTATGGAAATTTCTGCTGCAAAAGAATCTACAATCAACAATAAAACCGGATGGATAAAGGAAGAAGCTGACTTCAAATATCAAAAACAAAGTCAGCAAGCAAAATCAGCCAAGCAGTCAATCACGGAAAATCAAAATGTGGAACATGCGGTCGATCAAATCACACACAAAAAGAATGCCGATACAAGGACTACAGTTGTAATATTTGCAATATCAAAGGTCATTTGGCTCCTATGTGTAAAAGTAAGAACAATAAACCAAAGTATGATAACCGCTCACACAATACATTTTTATCCGAAAATTCTGGTAATAACACGAATGAAAATATTCATGATGACGCAATCGCGTACAATTTATCTGACATTTTTTTTAATATGATTGAAAATAACTTTCAAAATAAAGTAAAACCGTACATTATCAATTTATTAATTGAAAATAAAGATTTAAAATTTGAAATAGATACGGGGGCTGTGCATAGTGTAATGTCAAAACAATTATATGATACAAGTTTTAATAATTTAACTTTATTACCAAACGATATTTCACTACGCGATTACGTCGGAAATGATATAAGCCCAATAGGAAAATTAATAGTAAATGCTAAATATTTGAAAAAGTCTTTTAAAATGTGCATTTACGTAATACAAAACGGAGGACCGCCATTAATTGGTAGAAATGATTTAAAAATAATAAACTATTCTCCCATTTATAACACTATAAATGTAAACAAAAATATAGAGAATATATTAAAAAATTTCGAGCATTTATTCAAAAATGAAATCGGCACCTTTAATAAATACCAAATATCGCTAAACATTAAAAAGGGGCAATACCCAAGTTTTACAAGCCAAGGTCAATTCCTTTAGCACTAAAATCTAAGGTAGAGTCGGTAATTGATCGTTTAATAGATAATAATATTTTAACTCCCGTGAACTACAGCGAATGGGCCACTCCAATTGTTCCAATTCTTAAGCCCGACGGTACAGTTAGAATTTGTGGAGATTTCAAAATTACAATCAACCCCGTATTGGAAGGAACTGAGTATCCCTTACCAAAAATAGAACATCTTTATGCGAATATAAGTGGCTCAAAATATTTTTCTAAAATAGATCTCAAAGATGCATATCAACAAATGGTAATTAAAGAGAGTGATCGCAAATACACTACAATAAATACTCACAAAGGCCTATTCAGTTATACTCGAAATCCGTTCGGAATAAAAAGCTCAGCTGGGGAATTCCAAAAAGCCATGGAAATATCAACCACAGGCTTAGAAGGGATTGGTATATTTCAAGACGACATAATAGTTGCGGGAAAAACGGTAGAAGAACACAATAATAGATTACTTAATTAAAAAATTACTTAACGTTTTATCCGAAGTTGGTTTAAGGGTTAAACAAAACAAATGTAGTTTTCTCAAAAATTCAATTGAATATTTAGGTCATAAAATCGATGAGCATGGCTTGCACACCTTAACTAAACACATAAATGCAATACAATCTGCCCTGGTTCCAGAAAATAAAACTATGTTAAAATCATTTTTAGGTTTAGTAACATATTACATTAAATTTGTTCCAAGAGCAGCGGACATTCTTAAACCGTTATACTCATTACTAAGACAAGAAAAAAAATGGCTATGGTCACCAGAATGTGATCAAGCATATAATAACATAAAAAAAATGCTTATCTCAAGTCCTGTGTTAGCACATTATGACCAAAAACTTCCCATAAAACTCACGGTCGATTCTTCGTCATACGCACTAGGTGCAATCATATCGCACACTTATCCTGACCACTCAGAAAGACCAATTGCATATGCATCACGAGTATTGTCAAGCAGTGAATGCAAATTTCCACAAATCGAAAAAGAAGGTCTAGCCATAATTTTTGGTGTTCAAAAATTTTACGATTATTTATACGGTAGAAAATTTACATTCGTTACTGGTCACAAACCATTAATCCACATATTTGGAGAAAAAAAAGGAATACCAATTTATGCGGCAAATCGCTTACAACGTTGGGCATACGTTCTTTCTTCATTCGATTTTGAAATTAAGTATATTAAATCAGAAGGAAATACTGCTGATTTTTTATCCCGCATTAAAACAAACCAATGCAACAATAATATTAATGAATATGACGACGCTCACATAAATTTTATTCACGAACAGTCACCATTTCCGCTAGATTGGCACAAAATTAAAATTGAAACGAAAAGAGATCCAATTACCTCTAGAGTATTACACGCTACAAAAACAGGTTCATGGAGTAATGACTTTTCAATAAATTCCGAATTAAACTCGTATAATACACGCAAAACAGAAATTACTGTTGAACAAGATTGTTTATTTTGGGGCTATAGAGTAATCATACCAACCAAATTCCGTATGTCAATTCTAACTGAACTGCATTCTTGTCATATTGGCATGTCGAGTATGAAAAGCATTGCGCGTTCGTATTTCTGGTGGCCTAGTATAGATAAAGAAATTGAGGATATGGTCCGAAACTGCAATGAATGCATAAGTGCGAGACCTAATCCTCCTAAGTCAGTACTAACTCCGTGGAAATGGCCACAAAGACAATGGACGAGAGTGCATTGCGATTTCTTAGGTCCGTACAAAAATAAAACATTCTTAATTATTGTCGATGCAACCACAAAGTGGCTAGAAGTTTTTCAAGTAAATTCGATGACAGCACAAACGGTCATAACAAAACTGTCTGAGTTAATTGCACGTTTTGGCATTCCCAGAACAATAACAACTGACAATGCAAAATGTTTTAATGGCGATGAATTCCAGTCATATTGCAAGACACTAGGTATCAGGCACTTGACAGGGGCACCTTTCCACCCAGCCTCAAATGGATTTGCCGAATCTGGAGTAAAAATAGTTAAGCAATTTTTTAATAAATGTTCAACATCATTACACCATTTGAATAAATTTTTATTGATGTATAGAAATACTGTACACTCAACCACAAATGAAACGCCAGCAAAACTTATGTTTGGCCGCTCAACACGTACCTACTATTTTTGATTTATTAATCCCAAACACAAATGAAGTAGTTATTAATAACCAAATTACACAAATAAAAAATTCAGGAAAAAGAGATATTAATATAAAAGAGGGTGATTTGGTATTAGTTAAGGATTATCGAAATAAAAATGAAAATTGGCAAAAAGGAAAAATAACAGAAAACATTAGTAAAAACACTCATAAAATCATACTAGACGAGGGTTCTGAATGGATAAGACACACTGATCAGATATGGCCACACAACCAAATAAATAACTCACTGTCACCTACACCAGCTAGACAAGCAAATGAAAATTCTAAAAATACTGAAACAGTAGGTGAAAATCAAAATCCCGATCCGGCCGATCCCGTAATAGTAAATAAAACACCCAGACCATTTAGATCTAGAAAACCGCCTCAGCGATATTCTCCAAGTGATTATGCTTAGGGCAATAATTGCAATAATTAACTATTAATTATATCAGTTATCATATTATATAATAAATACTCGTATATAAAAAAAAAATAAATAAATAAATAAATAAATACTAACATAGTAATTAAGCACTATACAAAATACTTTATATTTTTTTTAAAGGAAAGAGATGTTGCATATTCAGCATTTACATTGTATACTAAACGTTTATATTAATAATAATAATTATAAGTATCATATTACGATCGGTGGGGATTGTCCATCGGTCATTAGCAAGTAGACAATTTTATATGTATGTCAGTTCGTTTTATACTTTTCACAATAAAAGACTATAATATACGTTTGTGTTATTATTCATATTAACAATACACAACAACTATGATATATATCAGAGGTTCCCAAACTTCTTATGGTACGACCCATTTTGGAAAGAATTAAAATTTTGGCGCCCCTCAATAATCTTTTTTTTTGTGCTGAATAAAACATAAAAAAAGATAGTTTTACTGAAATTAATTGATTTGAACGTCATGCAGGTACTAATTTGTTTCAAATAAATTATTATATTTTCAATAACTATTAATCTAATTGCTTCGTGTTGATTGGTCGCAGTAAATTTGTAACTGTTACAAACGCAGATAGCAATTTATGATATAACTAAATTTAGTAATAGAAACACGTGTCTAAAAAATAGTATGGTGACAGTAAAATATACTAAATTGTACAGGATTTATTGTAAATGAACGATTTCATCTGATGTTCTATCTATATGCTATAGTTGTCTGTGTTGCACCCTTCGGTATTCCACAGCACTTAATTTTTGAGTATGGGTGGGCCTGGAGAAATTTTTCCCCAGCCCCACCCACAGTTTTTTGGCTTTTGTGGTGGCGGCTTTTGAGCAGGAATTCCGGGGTCTACGGCAGGAATTGGCAGGAATTGAGCACTAAATATTGGCTTTGAAAAAAGTCAAATGGGTGGGGGTGGGGAAATGTACGTCTATAGTTGTCTGTGTTGCACCCTTCGGTATTCCACAGCACTTAATTTTTGTTGGCAATTTGATATAAGCAACTTTAAACTTTTTTGTGGCAGGGTTTTTGTTATGTCCAGAACTTTTTGATGGCTGATTAACCTGACTCGTACTTCACTCATCATTCTGGACAGAACATATCACGTCTTTGTCAGGTTCAGAACTTGTTGATGGCTAGTTACTATTTCTAAATTATAAACACACATTTGAATAATATACCCGGGTAATAATATTATTTGATTTTTAAATTATAGATTGTATTTCATCTTCATCATCATCATTTTCATATTCAGAACTTATCTCCTTGGTTAAAAATTATTCTTTTTTGCTCCATATACAAATTATTTGTTCTAACTGGCTCATTCTTCTTTCATAATTAAATTGCGATGATATTGAAAAAAGTTCAGCCAATTTAGAAACTCTAATAGATGCCTTTCGAAACTTTTCGTTTGCTAATAATAGTCTTGCGTTTTTAGGTTTCTTCTGAGTTTCAATAGGAACATCACTAATAGCCTCACATAACTTTAGCGGTTCTTTAAAAATTACCTGGGATTTATAATAATAATTTCATGTCCATCTTTTATCGCAGATATCTTCATCGTAAAAAGAATGATTTGTTGCTCTTCTTTTATTAAAAAGATGCTTGTGTAGTGATCCCTCACTAACGCTTATATTTTTGAGTTCAAAGACGTTGACGGTTGAATAGGAGAAAAGTTTGCAGAGACAAGTTACACAAGTTAGGTATAAGTAGTTTTATTAACGTTTTAAAAAAATAAATGATCACAATTAAGTGTAATATAAATTTGAGGACAGAGCGAAAAGCATCTGCCCGAGAAGTTAGTTACGTACAGTATGTACGTAGTGCAAACTCTAAACTATTTCTAATTTTGCAATAGACATCATCTTATATTTATATGAAATCTATGCGGATATAAAAGTACACGGTAGAGTCTAGGAGATGGATATTTGTAAGGAGCCTGGGGCTGGATGTTGTTATTGCCAAAAGACCCGAGTGGCTTATTGGCAATTTTAATAGGTTTGTTTTCGCATTATTTTGGCAAAGCGAAGATCGAGTGAATTATGGTTTTGTTTTCGCATTATTTTGATAAAGCGAAGATCCGTAAATTATTCGTTAGATTGATTTTTTAATTAAACTGCCAAACCCAAGGTATTGAAAAAGATTAATAGTATTGTTATTGTCCAGCGTACCCATCATGAGAAATGTAATTAAAATATTGAATATAGGAAAGCGACTCCGTCGGTTTACTACACTTGCATGGCAACTTCATAGAATTATAAAAAGCACAGGAACAAGAACTTAAGGAAGTACTTCTAACATTTTAACAATAATATATACAACAATAAATATTATGATTTTAAAACAATCAACAAATTCTTAAATACTAATAAGGATTGGTAAAAGTACATTATAAGAATAAGAAAGAATTGTTTTGTATGTTTAAGATGAAAAAAAATAAGTTATTTATTATTTTTACATTAACTTGAATTCAATTTAATTTGAATTTAAATAATTCAAATATTTCATACAAATAGAACCCAGATGTTATATATTATAATAATAATGATACTGTTTACTCATTAATAAAACAAAATAAACTTAATATTTTAGAAACTATAAGAAGTTTACAAAAACATAGGAACTGCACAGACCTAGAAGTATTAAAACCAATGACATTTTTAATGGCAAATGCTAAATTCAGGGAAGAAAAGAAACAACAAAAAAATCTATCTTTTTAACTGTTATTCTTCATAATGAAGGTATTGAAAAAGATTAATAGTATTGTTGTTGTCCAGCGTACCCATCATGAGAAATGTAATTAAAATATTGAATATAGGAAAGCGACTCCGTCGGTTTACTACATTCCTCCCCTCGAAGATGGAAGTCTCCGACTTCCCTTAGTTCAAGAATGTACGAAGTTGTGGATAGCCAGTAGGGCTGTTTCTTGGTGCGAGTGGAAATTCGACTATGTCGACGCTTCTTAGCGACGCTTCTTTGTTCGCACCATGTAGTTCCGCTTCTTCTGGTGACTCTACTTTTGTGTAGTCTGTTTTGGATTTAATCATATTTATAATAAATATGCTTACTGTCATAAAAATTACACTTGCTATGACATAAAGTATGTAATTATTCAGTTCCTGTGAGTTTTTAAGTTCGTCGATACTGTTGTCGACCTTGCGTTGTTTTTCCAATTGTTTTTTTCGAACCTGACACTGTATTTAGGTCCTCCATGTTGTTTGTTTTGACATGACAGTCTTCCATTAAATTGTTAGTCTCTACGCGTGGTGAGTAGTGGTTACGATCTATTATTGACCGTGGGTTGAAGTCCATATACTCGGATTTGTAGTCAACTTTACCCGGTATCAGTATGTCTCTAGTGCGTAACCTTTGCAGGTTTTGTTTAGATGTATAATTCCTACTCCTTTGAGTGTGTGGCTAGTTGATTCCTTGTCTTCATCACAGGTAACAAATAGTACGTCATAGTCAGTCACGTATATCCATTCATTTTTGAATCTCTTCTTATGGAAGATAGTTGTACCTATTTGCACATGCATTACTTCACAACTGTTCGGAACTTTGTCTGGATCCTGCAATAATAGTACTTCGCATGTGGGTCGTATATTACGAGGATGTAAAGGATTACCTTCAGGACATAATAGGAAATCTCTAGCGTGTTTACAATGAGTGTAGTAAAATTCGTCATAAGTTGCATAGTGTTCTTTAGATTTACTTATAGCTATGTACTTATTACTAGGTTTTATATAAACACAATCATTGTCAATACATACTGGTACAGGTATTAAATTATATAAAATAAAGTCGTTTTGATAAATTAATGGTAAAGATATTATAAAAACTAGGTTGTCGTTAGCATAATAAATAGCAATATCTGAGAGTTTCACCAGTTCGTAAATGTTAGTAATGTCTAGGTCAGTGGGTAAATCAGTCCCCCCTGGTAAAGATACTTTAATATCTTTAACGTGTTCTAGTAACTCTAGTGGAGTTATTAAACTGGGATGTATAATCCCTATTTTTGCTTGTTGTATAATTTCTAATATCGTATCCGTTTCTAACATATATTTGGTAATTAATAAGTTAACGTGTATAAAATGTTTTGTAAAATAATTTTTTATTTGCTGTTCTTTCGTAATGTTTGTTGTTTCGTTCACGGATAATGACAATGGTAACATAGTTATATTGTCGTGTGGTTCTAAATTATGTTGTAGTTCTACTACCTTAATTTGTTCTTTTATCAATTTAGATTGTGAAGTGTTTTTAGCTACTCCTATATAAAATTGAATTTCTGTATGCATTCTAAATTACATATTCCGTATATTAACCTAGCTGCTTTTGTTACGAGTTTAGTTAAAGCGCTACGCTTAGTAATTACGTGTCCAATAGAATTTAAGACCTGTGTCTTTTTATGGTGTAAATTTTCAACTATAGCGGTAGCTGAAAGAAGTAAGTTGTTACAATTAAAATTATTTTGTACTGGGTCGTGCATGTGTTCAACGCACAATACTTTCGTTTTTTCTATCACTATGTTTATGTATTCGAATTCTTTATTATATTTAGTAAGGTTAATGTACGCAGTAAGGTCCCATTGAGATGTTACAAGTTTCAACGGTCCTCGATTTTCGTAGTAAATGCCAGAATGTTGACTTAAATGTTCGTCTGTGAATCGTAATGTTCCTGACGTGAACGGTATTGTTAGTAGAATAAGTCTGAAATCGTTTCAGCTCATTAGTCAAGTTATAGAATGAATATTTAATATACTCCTACCTATAAATATTTTGATTTTTAAAATCTAAGTTATTAAATATTAACCCATTCCCATGTATAAATGATATATATATAAAAAAAAACTAATTGATAACCTTGTACCGAATAATAATAATAATAATAAAATAATAAAATAAAATAATAAAGAAAAAGTAAATATAAATTGAATGAAAATACAAATAATAC